AAAAAAAAAAAAAAAGCCTAAATATCCATCAGCAGATGAATGGATAAAGAAAATGTGGTATACACATACAATGGAATATTATTCAGCCTTAAAAAAATAAGATGATTCTGGCTGGGCATGGTGGCTCACTCCTGTAATCCCAGCACTTTGGGAGGATGAGGTGGATGGATCACCTGAGGTCAGAGTTCAAGACCGGCCTGGCCAACACATAGTGAAACCCTGTCTCTACTAAAAAATACAAAAATTAGCTGGGCATAGTGGTGCATGTCTGAAGTCCCAGCTAATTTGGAAACTGAGGCAGGAGAATTATTTGAATCCAGGATGTGGAAGTTGCAGTGAGCCGAGATCACATCATTGTACTCCAGCCTGGGTGACAAATAAGACTCCATCTCTTAACAAGCAAACAAAAAAGATGATTCTGACATTTGCTACAGTATGGATGAATCTTGAAGACATTATGCTAAGTAAAATAAAGAAGTAACAAAAAGCCAAATATTTCATGATTCCGCTTACATGAGATATCTAAAATAGTCAAACTTATAAAATCAAATAGTTGAATGGTGGTTGCTAAAGGCTTGGAGAATAGGATAATGGAAAGTTACTGATCAGTGAGCATAAAGTTTCACTTAAACAAAATAAATAAGCCTTAGAGATTTATAGGAAAAGATTGTGTCTACAGTTAACAATCATATATTTTACACTTAAAAATGTATTAAGAAGGTAAATCATATGTTAAATGTTCTTTCCACAATAAAAGAAAATAATGCGTAATTACACATTCCCAAGTTTAAAAAAAAAAAAACTAATAGAGTTTGTTGCTAGCAGGCATGCCCTACAAGAAATTCTGAAGGAAATTCTTCAGTCTGAAATGAAAGGACATAGACTGTAACTCAAATCCAAATGAAGAAATAAAGAATACCAAAAAAGTAAAAACATAGGTAAATGTAAAATGCAGTATTAATATGTTTTTGTTAATAACTCCTATATTTTTAAATTTAAAAGTCATCTGTGTAATGCAATAATTATACATCTATGATGATGGACACACAATGTATAAAGATGTAATTTGTGATAATAGCATACAAGACAGGGAAGTCAGCTATATAGGTACAAAATATTTGTATTATATTAAAATTAAGTTGATATTATTCTAAATTATATTGTTATGAAATGTGTATTTATTTTAACCTCCAACCACTAAAATAGCAACCCAACTACATGTAATCTTAAAATACAATTGAATTAAATGGCACACTCAGAAATATATATTAAACACAAATGGCAGAATGGATAAATGGAAAAATATGAACAACATAGGCTGGGTACGGTGGCTCACGCCTTTAATCCCAGCACTTTAGGAGGCCAAGGTGGGCAGATCATGAGGTCAAGAGATCGAAACCATCCCTGACCAACATGGTGAAACCCCATCTCTACTAAAAATACAAAAATTAGCTGGGTGTGGTGGCCCAAGCCTGTAGTCCCAGCTACTTGGGAGGCTGAGATGAGAACTGCTTGAACCCGGGAGGTGGAGGTTGCAGTGAACCGAGATTGTGCCACTGCACTCCAGCCTGGTGCCTGGTAACAGAGCAAGACTCTATCTCAAAAATAAAAAAAATAAAAAAAGATGTAATACATAAACAAATGACAGAAGTACTTATAAGTAAGTACATTAAATGTAAATGGTTTAAACTCAAAAGTCGGGGATTAGTAGAATGATTCCAAAAAAGTAATCTAACCATATGGTGTCTACAAGAGACTCACTCTGGGTTCATTGACACAAATAGTTTGAAAATAAAATGCTGAAAGATTTTCTTTAAAAGAGAGCTAGTATAGCTTTAATAATATCATTCGAAACAGACTTAGAAAAAATCATTAGGATAAAAAAAGAAACAAAGTAAAATGTTTCAGCTGTTGTGGAAAACAGTTTTGTGGTTCTTCAAAAATTAAACATGTAATTACCATATGACTCAGCAGTTAGACTCCTAGATTTATACCCAGGAGAGCTGCAAACATCAATTTTTTAAACACTTGAAAATGAAAGTCCCAAATGTTCATGAATGAATAAATAAAATATGGTATATCAATACAATGGAATATTACTTAACCATAATCAGGAACGAAATGCTGATACCTGCTACAGCTTGCATGAACCTTGAAAAATTATGCTAACTATTATAAGCTAGGCACAAAAGGCTATATGTTGTATGATTCCATTTAATTTAAATGTCCAAAATAGGCAAATTCATAGATTCAGAAAGCAGATTAATAGTGCCAGGAAAACTGGTTACTTTTACAGGGATTGGAGGAGTTTCTGATAGGATTCTGTGAGTACTGGCATTGTGGTAGTTTCCCAGGGAATTGCCTTGTGATAATTCATTGTGATAATTCATTGATGTTATATGTACTTTTCTGAATATGTGGTATATTTTATAATAAAGAGGTAAAAATATTTACTTGAAAAATTTTGTTTGCATTTTCATATATAGATTAAGTTGGGTAGAATCTAAATATTCACAATGCATGATTCTGTTGTCCAAGAGCAACTATGTTGCTTGCTTACCCAATAAGGAATTCACCTTTTCTATGAAATAGTTTATGATTTGTGACATTGAAGGATCATGAGACTTTGAACACAGAAATTCCTAGGTTACTCTTTTATTGATTTCTTCATTTTATTTATTCTTTTAGGTTTCCAGTATACTTAGAAACAAAATAATTATAGCTGCAGGGGCTGGATTCATCTATTACCTACAAATCTTCTCTATTGCTTTTGCTGCCACCACCAAGAGCATCAGTCAATATAATGATTATTCTTAGCTTAATCTTACTATTTACTTCTTGCTTGTCTTGCTACATAATCATATAATTGTGGAGAAATGTTAACTATTAACTAATGAGATATACATTTCCAGAAATGTATTCCTTTTTACCGCTTGATGTTCCTCTCCATCACCACATTTACTTTAATTTTGTGTTTCACCGTCTGGTTTAGTGTCTTAGGTGGATGTGAGGGAAGTGGGGAAGTAGAATAGAACCTGGAGGCCCAGTTTAAAGGAGGATAGCAGTGATAGGTAAATTATGTAGTCAGAGAAAAAAAAATCTTTAGAGAAACTGTCTCCTTAGAGAAAGAATCTACTTTCTGGGAAACTTGCCAGTATTATTACAGCAACTGTTCCAAGTAGAAAACAATAATAAAAGAAAGTATAGTGGTCCTGCTCACTGGAATGTCCTCTGGTGAAGAGGTAAAAATAACTTACTTCATGCCCTTGGGATAAGGTTTTTGTTTTGTTTTGTTTTGTTTTTTGAGATAGGGTTTCACTCTATCACCCAGGCTGGAGTGCACTGGTGCAATCACAGCTCACTGCAACCCCTGCCTCCTGAGCCTCAGCCTCCCAAAGTGCTGGGATTATAGGCATGAGCCACCATGCCCAGACCCAGAGCTAAAGTTTTTGTTTTGTTTGTTTTGTTTTGTTGATTATTCTACTTTAAATTCTGGGATACATGTGCAGAACATGCAGGTTTGTTACATAGGTATACATATGGCATGGTGGTTTGCTGTACCTATCAACCTGTCATCTAGGTTTTAAGCTCTACTAGAGAGGTCCCATGTATGATGTCACCCTCCCTGTGTCCATGTGTTCTCATTGTTCAATTCCTACTTATGAGTGAAAACATGCAGTGTTTTTTTTTTTTTTTTTTGAAAAGGAATTTCCCTCTTGTTACCCAGGCTGGAGTGCAATGGCGCGATCTCAGCTCACTGCAACCTCCGCCTCCTGGGTTCAGGCAATTCTCCTGCCTCAGCCTCCTGAGTAGCTGGGATTACAGGCACGTGCCACCATGCCCAGCTAATTTTTTTGTAGTTTTTTTTTAGGAGAGACGGGGTTTCACTATGTTGACCAGGATGGTCTCGATCTCTTGACCTCGTGATCCACCCGCCTCGGCCTCCCAAAGTGCTGGGATTACAGGCTTGAGCCACCGCGCCCGGCCAAACATGCAGTGTTTGGTTTTCTGTTCTTGTGTTAATTTGCTGAGAATTACATCTTCCAGATTCAACCATGTTCCTGCAAAGGACATGAACTCATTCCTTTTTATGGCTGTATGGTATTCCATGGTGTACATATGCCACATTTTCTTTATCTAGTCTATAATTGATGGGCATTTGGGCAATTCTTTGCTATTGTAAATAGTGCTGCAATAAACATACAAGTGCATGTGTCTTTAGAGTAGAATGATTTATAATCCTTTGGGTATATACCCAGTAATGGCATTGCTGGGTCAAATGGTATTTCTGGTTGTAAATCAAGGAATCACCACACTGTCTTCCACAGTGGTTCAACTAATTTACACTCCCACCAACAGTGTAAAAGCACTCCTATTTCTCCACAGCCTCACCAGCATCTGTTGTTTCCTGACTTTTTAATAATCACCGTTGTAACTGGCATGAGATGATATCTCACTGCGGCTTTGATTTGCATTTCACTAATGACCAGTGATGTTTTAAGAGGCAGATTGACTTAATTAATAACTAGTTCCATGCCAAATAAAGACAGGACTTGCTGTTTCCTTCTCTAAATGTTTTGGCTTGGTTTCTTTTTGCACTTACCCTTCACTTTGCCTTTATCTCTGTACCCTTTGTGTTTCAGGGAGTGATAAAATACCACAAATTTGATATTTATGTCATGGATTACCACATTCTGGAAACTATGCTGATCTTCATGCTGTATGGCTGGTCTGCCATTCCCTTTGTGTACCTAATAAGCTTTGTGTTTTCTGGAAGTACTTCTGCCTACATCAAGCTTCTCCTACTCAACTACTTTTCAGGCACTTTGGGTTTCCTCATAGGCAATATATTAGAAAACAGTAAGTATAAAGTTTCACAATATTTCACTTTCTTCAGAAGGCAGCAGTAAATAAGTAAGGAGTAATGGACCTGCAGATATCTAAGAACATTTGCAGGCAACTAAGTTGGAGGTTTTAGAGGAAATTCTGTATTTAATATATAGCAATAAACTTATTTTGACTACCTGTGATATTCTAGGTATTGTGCTGCCAGATCTGTAAGAGTTGAAGAGGAAAGAAACACAAAAAGTGGCTCAACAGTCAAAGGCAGGTTTATTTTGGAGAGTAAACCTGAGAGGGACTTCTGACTTATTTGAATCAGGAACATTTTTTTACAGACTAAGAGTATTTATTGGTTTTAGAGTGAGAGAGATTATCACAGGCTTGTAATGTTTCTGTTGAGGGAGAAGTTTATTGAGGAGTTGGAATGTCTCTGGTTGGAGGGGAGGTTATCTCAGGGCTGGCATGTCTCTGGTCAGGGAGGGGTTTATCTTATGGTTGGAATGTTTCTGGTAGGAGATGTTATTTGTGTTTTATGGTCATGCTGACATTAGCCATGAGACTGATGTCATTTAGATTTAGGCAGTTTGATCAAGGCACTTTAAAATGGTGATGCTTTTCCAAGATGGCCATGCTCCTGCTATGTCAAGATCTAGAATCCTCATGTTGTAATGATGGGATCCAACCTGAACTACAAGTCCCCTCTATCCCCACCTCCTGTATCTCTATCACGTGAATCAAGGAATCAGTTTTGCAACTGATTTTGGAAAGTTTAGGAGTATTTGTCACGGAGAATCATTTGTCAGAGAGAGAGAGAACAAAAAAGTAGCTTTATTTTTAGGGAAAAGGCCTTAGAAAGTTATAGAAAATTATATCTCAAATATATTAGGGTTATCCATTTGGCTCTTTAGAGTGAAGTGCAGAGAGAGAAAAGAGTGAAGAAGAACCTCGAGCTCTTTGTGAGATAACTAGCTGTTCCATTCACAAGAACCTTAGCCTACTAACAAGATTTTCCAGAAAGAAGAAAAACTCTATTCACCTAACACACACATAACTAAGCCAAATGATGGAACAGGATTCTCTGGTGATTGTTCCCCTGCAGAACCACCAATCTGAATAACTAGTCACGTACATACATGCAAAAGATACCATCAGAAGAACTAAAGAAATCAGGTGAGAGATCATAATAGTATAGCACAATGATAAGAAAACAACACATTGATGAGGGTGGGAAGGACAGTTTTTCATTATCCATGTCACCTCTCCCTGAAGCTCAAACAACCCAAGTGGAAAAAGATACCATTAGCTTGAGGGAAAAACAGATAAGTAAAATTATGACTTTGTCTTAAGCCTTAATAGCATGTCTTCTACAGTAAAACTCAACATGGGGCAGACCTCTACTGTCCCTAAATCAAGGTCAGTACCTTCAAATTGGGCAAACCTGCATCAGCACTAGGTAAGAACCCATAATACCTGCAAAGTGGACTCGATCTCCAGTCTGCACCATCACCAGCCAACTAAGTAATCTTGGGCTCTAAACAGCTCTCAGTGGCAGGCAGGCCTCAGTGTCCATTACCTTCTGGCATGTCCCAGAGCTACATCAGCCTTAGAAGCCATGATATTCCAGCCTGGCACTGTGTTGGCCACGGTGGTCAGGGCTTACAGGGCCTTCTAGTTTTCAATGGCCTCAGCAATCTCAGACTTAGGTACCACCCTATATGGCCTGCCCAGAACCTCTGGACAGGATTACTGTTGAAGTGTGTTCCCAGATGAAGCCAGTCTATGAAGACTAGAATAAATACTTCATCAAATGTGCAGACCTGCAACAACAAGGATCATGAATAATCTGGTAAACATGACATCACCAGATGTCCCACTCCCACAAAGACCAGCAAACTGAAGCCCTCTCACTTGAGATTTTCACAGCCAGCACAGCAGTCCAAGCTCAACCCGGGACAGTCGAGCTAAGTGTGGGGGAAGGGCGTCTGCCATTGCAAAGGCAGGTGTAATCTCACCTGTGTAAACAAAAGACAGAGGACGCCTACATAGCAGCTGGGCTGAATCTGAGGCAGTCCAGCACCACCTCTGCAGGCAGACAAGGGACAGACTGCCTCCTCAAGCAGCTCCCTGACCCCTGAATAACCAAAAAAATGCCACATACAGGAAGAGCTAAGGCTGACACCTGGCAGGTACCTTCCAGGATGAAGCTACCAGAGGAAAGATCAGGCAGTAATCCTCATTGCTCCACAGCCCCCGTGGGCGACTCCCAGTCAAGCAAGGTCTGAAGTGGACCTCCAGCAGTCCTACAGCAGAGGAGCCTGACTGTTAGAAGGAAAACTAAAAAACAACAAGAAATAGCTTCAACATCAACAGAAAGGATGTCCACTCAGAGACCCCATCCAAAATCACCAACTTCAAAGGTCAAGGGTAGATAAATCCATGAAGATGTGAAGAAACCAACACAAAAAGGATGAAATCATCAAAGACCAGAATGCCTCTCCTCCTCCCAGGGATCACAACTCCTCACTAGCAAAGGAACAAAATGGGATGGAGAATGAGCTTGACAAATTGACAGAAGCAGGCTTCAGAAGGTGGGTAATAACAAACTTCTCTGAGCTAAAGAAACATGTTCTAACTCAATGCAAAGAAACTAAAAATCTTGAAAAAAGGTTAGATGAAATGCTGTCTAAAATAACCAGCTTAGAGAAGAACATAAATGACTTAATGGAGCTGAAAAACACAGCACGAGAACTTCACAAAGCTTAACAAGTTTCAGTAGCCAAATTGATCAAGCAGAATAAAGGATATCAGAGATTGAAGATCAATTCAATGAAATAAAATGAGAAGGCAAGATTAGAGAAAAAAGAGTGAAAAGAAATGAACAAAGCCTCCAAGAAATATGTGATTATGTGAAAAGACCTAATCTACACTTGATCAGTGTACCTGAATGTGATGGGGAGAATGAATCCAGCTGGAAAACACTCTTCAAGATATTATCCAGGAGAACTTCCCCAACCTAGCAAGGCAGGCAAACATTCAAATCCAGGAAATACAGAGAACACCACAAAGATACTCCTCAAGAAGAGCAACCCCAAGGCACATAATCATCAGATTCACCAGGGTTGAAATGAAGGAGAAAATGCTAAGGGCAGCCAGAGAGAAAGGTCAGGTTACTCACAAAGGGAAGTCCATCAGACTCACAGCAGATCTCTCAGCAGAAACCCTACAAGCCAGAAAAGAGTGGGGGCCAACATTCAACATCCTTAAAGCACAGAACTTTCAACCCAGAATCTCCTATCCAGCCAAACTAAGCTTCATAAGTGAAGGAAAAATAAAATTCTTTATGGACAAACAAGTGCTAAGAGATTTCGTCACCACCAGGCCTGCCTTACAAGAGCTCCTGAACAACCAGTACCAGCCACTGCAAAAATGTACCAAATGGTAAAGACCAACAATGCGATAAAGAAACTGCATCAACTAACAGGCAAAGCAACCAGCCAGTAACAAAATGGCAGGATCAAATTTACACATAACAATATTAACGTTAAATGTAAATGGCCTAAATACCCCAATCAAAAGACACGGACTGGCAAACTGGATAGAAAGCCAAAACCATCGGTGTGCTGTATTCAGGAGACCCATCTCATGTGCAAAGACACACATAGACACAAAATAAAGAGATGGAAGATTTACCAAGCAAATGGAGAGCAAAAAAAAAAAAAAGCAGAAGTTGCAATCCTAGTCTCTGATGAAATGGACTTTAAACAAAGATCAAAAGAGACAAAGAAGGGCATTACATGATTGTAAAGGATTCAAGACAACAAGAAGAGCTAACTATCCTAAATATATATGCACCCAATACAGAGCACCCAGATACATAAAGCAAGTTCTTAATGACCCACAAAGAGACATAGACTCTCACACAATAATAACGGGAGATTCAACATTCCACTGGCAATATTAGACACAACAACGAGACAGAAAATCAACAGGGATATCCAGGACTTGAATGTAGATCTGGACCAAGCAGACCTAATAGACGTCTACAGAACTCTCCACCCCAAATCCATAGAATATACATTCTTCTCAGCACCACATCACACTTACTCTAAAATTGACCACATAATTGGAAGTAAATCACTCCTCAGCAAATGGAAAAGAATGGAAATAATAACAGTCTCTAAGACCACAGTGCAATCAAATTAGAACTTAGGATTAAGAAACTCATGCAAAAGCACACAACTACATGGAAACTGAACAACCTGCTCCTGAATGACAACTGGATAATGTGAAAAGACCTGGACAAGATTACTGTTGGATAAACAATGAAATGAAGGAAGAAATAAAGATGTTCTTTGAAACCAATGAGAACGAAGACACAACATACCAGAATCTCTGGGACACATTTAAAGCAGTGTCTAGAGGGAAATTTATGGCAATAAATGTCCATATGAGAAGGGAGGAAAAATCTAAAATCAACACCCTATCATCAAAATTGAAAGAGCTAGAGAAGCAAGAT